TGATGTTGACCAGTGCACCGCACGCACCTTGGGTCCAACTTACAAAAGTTCTTCGTGTGCCCATAGCGTTGACATCGAGTGCATTGGGGAATTTGCCTAGATTTTCTTTTCATTTTGACACTTACAACTGCAAAACATATTGTGGTTAAATTAAAGATAGATTTGCCGTCGTCGTTGTTTTCTAAGTCTACTGCACAAAGAGGGAGTGGAAGTTTGTTTTTGTTGAGTAACCTAGTGACTCTAATGACAGGATAGTTTTGATCTGTTAGCTCAGTTTTAATTTCATTCTCAGATAATGATGTAGGGACGTTCCTGACAATCACTTCTAGTTTTTTGTCATGTAGGGGTTGAAAAGTATGATATTTAATGTTAGAAGAATCATAAAAGGCTGTCAAATTTCTAAAGTCATCTATATTAGACAAGTTCACTTTAAGGGACTGCCCTCGAACTTGAGTCGAAAAAGTTGCCTTTACCATATTTCGGACATCTTTTATTATTTCTTGGTGGTTGTTTACGTTGTGCAAAAATATAGGAGGGATTTTTAACTTTGGGTCATTTACTTGGTTTTCCAAAGTAGAATCATCCATCTCGCGTGATTGATCCACGCCATTGCCATTACCATTAGAACTATAAGAATGTTCAGATAGAATTTGATATTTATTGCCTTTACATAGTTCACTTGAATCTAAAACATAGCGTTTCGGTTGAGATTCAGAGGAAGAAAAGGTAAGTTTACGTTTTGGAAAGACAAAATCATCATCAGGATCACTTACATTTTCATCAAAAGGCATAGCAAGGAACTCGTTTGTTTGTTGCACATTATACTTAGCTTTGTTTACATTAGTTGTTGACATTCTTGTAACAGGAGGAGCTTGTAGGTTAGACCTATGTTTGAACGAAGTTTTATTGTTTAATTTAACTATTTCCGCGATACTATGAAACAAGTACAAAGAACAAACAAAGAATTAAACTTGTCACAACTTTAAATACGTAAAAAAGATAATTATTCACAGAGCAAAAATCAACACAGTCACTATAAATAAGAACCAGCTGTATCCCCTTTGTTTTTATAATAATAAAAACAACAACAACCAAATCAAAACAAATACATATACTAATTTGACAGTTACAATCAGGTGATCTTTTGTTTGAAATCCGAGTGACGTCAGAATATGTGGGAATAGCACACCTATGTTTTTTCCTTCCACCATGCGTTAGGCATACAACAGCGCTTCAATATAGGTACTAAATTATTTATTTTTGTAAGATCTACAAAACGGTTTGAAAAGAAATTGCAAATTTGTTTGTTTTTAGGGTCATGGGAAACCCCCATTTTTACCCCATAAAGACCCCCCATAAACCCCCGTTCCCATGGTCCTATTATGCTGGTTCGCGAACTCGTTCGAATAAACGTAGGTTTACACGAGGAGGTTTGCTCGAGTTATCGTGGTAACGGACACACATGTATATGAATTTGAAAGGATGGTGGTTCTGGCCGCTAGGGACCTCAAAACGAAAAATTAAATCGGTCCCGGGTCCAGGTCTTACCATGAGTACTACGGTAATAGCTTAATCCGGGATTGAGTTCAGTGTTGCCACTCTTGGGCAGTATTATAGTGTGTTGGAGGGACAACATCATCCAATTTACCTGTTTTGTTATGTTGTTTTTGTTATCACAAACCATCCTTGAATAATGCTTAATAATGTCTGAAAGTTTCATTACAATCTGTTGAGCGGTTTCGGAGTCCATAACGTTCAAATATATATACAAACTTCCTCTTTTATATATAAGTACAGTACACAATGAAAAAAAGGCGTAGGTAGATGACAAGAGAGGTATTTTTAATTGAACACATTAAACATGTAGAAAACATGAAAAACCAAATTGAAGTATTACCTTGACAAAAAGAATACAGAATGTTCGATTAAGGCTGCTCTACCCCTCTGGCGTGCGCAAATTCAAGGAGTTTAGTTCTTACTGATTGTAGCCCCAATTGTAAACCGATTTAAAAGATCTTGATGACATATTTTTCGTTAAATATTATTGTCGTTTTGCTGTTTTTTTTCTTATTTTGATAATTCAAAAAATGTTGGGCTCAAAGTTTGGTAAAAATGTTAAAATACGCGTTTTGTATAATAAGTTTTAACGCATACAAATAATTTTTAGAGAAAAAATAAAATAACGGGAAAAGTGCAATAGATTCTTAAAAACAAAAATCTGCAGTTAGTTTATTAAAAACTTTAAGAATAACGATGTAATCACCCAAATTCGAAAATCGAAAGGCTTGCAAGCGCTCTTCATGGCACTGTTCAATGCAATGGTATAGGGACATCGGTGTTCAGCAACATCGTATTGAGAAATCCGAGCTGAGGTAGTCGAATCAATGCCTTGAGTTGAAGTGCTGTACAAGTAGGTACGCATTTTTCAAGTGCTGTTGGTACAAACAGAATAAATGCCTTTGGTGTGGTGCTTTCAGAGAGCTCTGGGTGCTTTGGATACTTGAACTCTGAGCGAAAAAACTAAATTAAGTTGTTCACTTGTCAGTAAAGTTGTTTCTAATTTTGTCTTCTGAAAAAAAGTTGTGTCCCGTTGGCGCCACTTGTTTGTGGTGCCATATGCGACCGCGTAGTTCGCGTATGGGTCAAACCGGCCCTGACAAAAGATCTGACTGTGCATCATTTTGATGTAAAAACAGCCTTTTTAAATGGAAAGTTAGAAGAAGAAATATATATGCAACAGAGGCTGGAAGGTTTTGTGAAATCTGATAATGAAGATAAAGTTTATAAATTAAAGAAATCAATTTATATGGGCTAAAACAGACAGCTATTTAACCCAAAATAAAATTACTATGAATATTATATTCTTCAGGTAAACACTTTAAAAATCTAAACGATCAATAATTATGTTTTAAGAAGCACAAAAGACGTCAAACCCTATATGAAAGTTACTAGAAAAATGTAAACTCAAAATAAGAAACAATACCCCCGCCCGCAGCAAACCTGCAGACTAAGCGAATTTCCATTTGACTGATTTGATTTACACTGAAATGTCTACTTAAAAATACAACATTTATTCCCAATTTAAATAGAATCAGTTTAACAAGTACTTAGGTTTGCTGCATCAGGGAGGGTAAAACTGTTTTTTTTTTTTGTAAAATGTTAATAGTTAGTAAGAAATAAAAACGTCTTCCAAATTTGATCAAAATATGTTCATAAACAAGCAAACTACAACAGTTTACTTATTCTCCATAAGAATAACATGGGAATTTTAAATTTACAATTTTTTTGAATTTTCTCCGTAACCATTAGGCACATAATAACGCTTCAATATACTAAATTATTTGTTTTTTTAAGCTCTACAAAATGGTTTTGAAAGAAATTGCTAAATTTTATGTTTTTTGGGTCAAAAATGGGAAAAACCTATTTTTACCCCATAAAACCCCCCGTAAACCCCCGTTCCCATGGTCCGATCATGCTGAATAGCGAACTCGTTCGAATAAACGTAGGTTTACACGTTTGTACCAAATTTCATCAAAATCGGATCATTTTTGCTTGAGTTATCGTGCTAACGGACACATATATATATATATATATATATATATATATATATAAATATATATATATATATATATATATGAATTTGAACGGATGGTGTTTTTGGCCTCTAGGGACCTCAAAACGAAAAAAAAATCGGTCCCGCGTCCAGGTCTTACCATGAGTACTACGGTAATAGCTTATTCCCTATATGGGAAATTCGCTAAAAACAACACGTTAATATGGATTTTATCACGTTTCTTATTCAACAATTGCGACAAATTGCCATCAGATATCTTGTCGGTTATCAGTCTGACCAACCCAGGAAACAATATTTCCCAAAATAAAATTACTAATATTTATAAAACCCCCGTTGCAGTAGACCTGCATACTCAGTGAATTTCAAATGCTTAGATAATTAATTAAAATTAAGCTCAACGTCATGTTTTGTCAACATCCCAGTCAGCATAAAAATTGTTGAAAAGCCAAAAAAATTGTTGTACAACAATTTTAAAAGAGTTTGCAACAATTTCAAAATAAGTTCGGATATAAAACAATTTTAATATAAGTTTTAAACAATTTCAAAATTGTTTTAATATAGATGGTTAGTAACTATATTAAAATTGTTTTGATATGAGTGTGCAACAATTTTAAAATTGTTTTAAAACAATTTTAATACTATTTCGAAAACACATATCAAAATTGTTTTGATATAAGTATGCAACAGTTTTAAAATTGTTTTGAAACAATTTTAATAATGTTTCGAAAACACGTATCACAATTGTATTGATATAAGTTTACAACAATCTTAAAATTGTTTTAAACCAATTTAAATGCAACTTCTAAAAATCATTAAAATAATAATTAATGTTATAAAAGCAAAATGTTCTGGATATTATATTTATGAAAGCGGCTTTCCTTTCAGTAATATAAGTTACAAAAATTACAATGGCCATCCATAATCTTGAAATGGTCTGTTTTGTAAAACGATTTATAATGATTTTCGTGTTTTTTCGCCCAAATTTTAAATCTTTCGCGCATTTTTTGTATTTTTCCTTATGGGACACTTATACTTGTAGGATAATAGTGAGTGTGTTGTGCTGTGTGTATGTGCCAATGCGTCAGCAACGACAGCTCCCCACGATTTTGATTATTAGAGTACAGTACGATAGTGGTAAAATCAAGTGAAAGAGTCATGGAGGAGGGGCAGACTGCCAAACTCAAGTTAAAGCGGAACCTGTATAAGTTTAATGGTTAATAACAACAGGTTAACAGTCGTGAAAATAAATTATTTATTATTTGTAATTGTATAAGTATACTGGATGAGTTTTAACATTATTACAAGTATCATCTACTCTAGACTCTACCAGAGTTTCGCAGTTCACTGACTACAGCAGTCTCCAGTCTGTTGAAATGTTGAATCGTTGAATGTTGATTTGATCTTGATCACGGGCTGACGGGCATCACGTCACGGCATTTTGTTTATGTTTGAAAAGTTATAAGTTGCATTAAGTTTACTGTTTTTATCCTACATAGCTTCATAAGCAGCAAACAAGGTGAGTTATAACTTACTTAGGCCTTTTCAGTCAGTGGTGATTCAGTTATTCTAAACTAACATATAGGCCTAACTTAAAATTAAATAGAGGTACTCCAATAGTTCCTGGTCTTAACCAATAACTTTGATAGGTATTTGGTAGGTAACATGATTATGGCCCATCTCTAGATGGCCTAGCTTATGTGAGCAAACTCTTAATTAATTTCCTTTTGTTTCTCATAAATATAACAGGCTATGTTACTGAAACTGTAAGTTACCGTTGGGTTTTTAGTAAATGGTCGTTGCTAAATGATACATTTGGATTTACAGTAACCAAAACTAAAATAACTTAGACCTAACTTACACAAGGCATCTAACATTAAGTTTATAAACTCATAATTGAATTGAATTACTCACTTAGGTGGCGTCCCCAACTCAAATAGAAAATGACATTGTAGGGCCTGTCGCCTAATGCGGTAACTGCTTAAAAGTAATATGACTAGGTATTTAGGCTTAGGCCTAGCTAAGTTACATCAGCTAGGGATTGATTTAAGTTAAGTTAGCCTATTTTTAAACTTGTTGTGTTAAGGGCTGCAGGAGTTTTTCAACTCTATTAAGTTAAGTTTACAAATATGTTAACTTACTAGACCTTGAAACTTGGTTAACTCATAATTTAACCCTCCGAGTGTTAAGCGTCGCGTAATCGACGCACAACACTCCCGCCGTGGTGTTATGCGTCGCTTTTGCGACACACAAACATCGTTTATGGCGAAGGCTCTGGGACTGACTTAATCAGATTGAACTGGATCGAGATTGGTATCGTTTTCGGCAGATTCTAAGCTTTCTCCTGATGTCTGTTTCTTGACGCTTTTCATTTTAGTTCCGAAAATATTTTAGCAGACAGCTGACGTGCGTATTTGTAAACGACTTGGTTAACCTCGCACCGATGACTGATGTGTTTTATTAAACGTTTCCATTGTTTTAGTGTTAAAAATAAAAAGTAGTGATATACGTGGTGCATTATAAGAAGATTAAAGTGATTTTGAAGGGCTGGTTGATGATCCTGAAGAAGTAGTGGTCCGGTAGTGATATTGATGTAAATTATCGGCCAGATTCCTAGCTATGGTTAGGCTATGCATTCTTAACTAACGCTTAATGTACGAAATCTGTTTTTCACCCATAACTTTATTTATTTGCAAATTTACTTCCTTATATTATTATATTTTTGTAATCCTTATAAAATTTAGAACAAAGTGGCTATTTTAAAATATTTGTAGACTTATAAATTATAAAAAAAATATTGAGCGCAAACATACATGTTAGGCTATTCATTTATTATATAATTTTAAGATTAAAGTGATTTTGAAGGGCTGGTTGATGATCCTGAAGAAGTAGTGGTCCGGTAGTGATATTGATGTAAATTATCGGCCAGATTCCTAGCTATGGTTAGGCTATGCATTCTTAACTAACGCTTAATGTACGAAATCTGTTTTTCACCCATAACTTTATTTATTTGCAAATTTACTTCCTTATATTATTATATTTTTGTAATCCTTATAAAATTTAGAACAAAGTGGCTATTTTAAAATATTTGTAGACTTATAAATTATAAAAAAAATATTGAGCGCAAACATACATGTTAGGCTATTCATTTATTATATAATTTTTGAGAAATGTTAACCCCACAAAAATTGCAGAAATTTTTTTGCAATGTTCTATTAAATGCATTTTGTTTTTTGAAGAAATGACGAAGAAGAGATGGGCCAACATTGAACAAAGCAAAATAGAGAAATCAGTTGCTTCATGGCTGGCACAGACACAATTAAAATCAAAGACTTAGAAAGGGTATGTATAGTGTGATAATTTGTATTACAAAATTCACTTAGTGAGGTTAAAAACATAGGCTAACAAAACAATATGCTACTAGCTTTCTCTCTTCATTCCGGATGCTTCAGTTTCAATAGTATATTGTTATACTAAAGCTCAGGTGATTTTCTTTATCTCAGACAAATACTGCAACAATCATTAACTTGGATTTTCACTATTTTTGTGTCGAAAGAAAGATAATTTTGAGAACTAGGGAATGTCATAGGCACAATTTTAGTTTAGGGTTTCAGTTTTTTAGAAATTTAGTTTTCATTTTTTTAAGTCAAGCAGCCGACGTCAACATTCTAGACTTTTGCTATAATGCCATTTGCTTAACGTAACAGCTGTAAACATTCAGGGGTCCCTAGTAACGAAATATAATATTAATCTGTGTGTTATAATTTTAGGGCAGGGTGTCAAAGAGCAACTGAAGAACAGGAAGATGAGGATCATGAAGCCGCCGACGCTTGAATGATGTGTAAATAATGTATTGTCAGGGTGTCTACGAACCGGGAAATCCGGGAATGAACTTATTTTTTTACTGAAATGTCCTGTTTTTAGTAAATATGGGTAATCTTTAGTGGTAATTGTCCTTACATAATTGTGTGGGCCATTTTAAGTATGACATAAAAATTTTTTAGAAGAACATAAAAGGTTTTTTATCAAATGTTTGCCTACATTTGCATCATTTATTACTATAGAGTAATTATGCAATAGAAACCACATTAGCAGTCTCAAACCCATAAATATTTTACCTCGACAATCACATCAAGTCAAGTACTTCAAAGAACTCATGACTCAGTAGCAAAGCTCATAAAAGTTGTATCACTGTCATTCCTTGACAACTTAATTATTTATTACTAGGGTAATTATCATTAGATCCCAAACCTATTTGATCATGGGAATAATAGTTTTATAGCCTATTAGCTGTTAAATTTAACTTCTTACTTGTACTTTCATCTTGAAGATTCAATTTGCCGCTGGCCGTTGCCTACTCCCTTAAAAGGTGTTTACGGTTTCATATTAAACTTCGAATTAATATACAGTGTTATTTTATAAGTTAAATCCTTTTTTATGGATATTTTATCTTTCAATTGACAAAACCACGAGCATTGTTGTTTGCATTAATTTTTTATCATAACACAGGCCTACTTGGTCTCAAAAATCATGTCCTTGCATTTCATGTATCTTTGTCTTATATTGTTGGCTGTTTGGGTTTCAATATTTTTTGTTCCCCATATTTATTTATTGTGTTGTATGCTTTAAGCAATCTAAATCTTATAAACTAGAATGATGATAATTTGCTGCTATTAATAACCTCATTGTTTGTTACTTAGTTTATATAAGCCCTCCTAAATAATTAGGTCTAGGCCTGGTCAAACTAATGATTGCTATATATCAATGTTAACTTTGCAATTGAAAAGATAATAATTTATTCTGTGCTTACTGGTAGAGAACTTTAAGTTTGTCCATGAATATTTTATTTTTATATCCATGCATCCATTTCTACTTTTTTAATCCAGAATGTAGTAGACTGTGTTTTTATTATTTCTCTACTTTTTTAATTTGTTTACTTCAAATAGAAGAATTTCACTATACTTATTTGTTTTTATTTATTCACCATTGTTTTTGATAGTAAACTAATCAATTAATGGTATATTTAATTAGTTGCTATAGGCGTAGTTATTATTTATGAACTCAAATAGAAATTAACCCTAACAAAGTTCCAAATTTGTCTATTTTAAAACAATTTCCAAACAACTTCAAAATTGTTATAGGCCTACAACAACTTCAAAATTGTTATACAACAACTTTAAAATTGTTATACAACAATTTTAAAACAATTTCAAAATTGTTTTAAAACAAATTCAAAAATATTTTATAACAATTTCAAAATTGTTGTACAACAATTTTGAAATTGTTGTACAACAATTTTAAACTCATTTTAATATAGACAAAATTCCAAATTTGTCAATTTTAAAACAATTTTAAAACAATTTCGAAACAGTTTTGAAACAATTTTGAAACAATTTATTTTCTTTTCCAACAATTTTTATGCTGACTGGGATATGTTCATAAATAATCATGCATAAAAATTTGCGATACGAATAACATGAGTATGTATGGAAATGAGTATGTAGGTTTGCTGTTGTGTAAATCTAATATATAAAATTCTCGTGTCACAGTGTTTGTCTGCAAACTCCTCCGGAACGACTTCACCGATCGTTATGAAATTTGGTGTGTAAATTCTGTAGGTATGCGAATCGGACGTAAACTACTTCCCGTTTCGAAATTCTTAAAAGGGCTCCGCCCCAGTGGGTCTGGAGTTTCCCATGTTAACCTTATGAGAAATGGAATTAATGAATCTTAACAGCTGTTTCAATTAAACAAGTTGGTTCTGTTCTATGATGTTCAATAGCATTAAAGTTACAAGGATTACCAACAGGGTGCAGCACTATTATTTCTTTTACATTTATGACAACAGCTAATTTGCAACCAAAAGGTGAGTGAGCGTAGCGAACGAACTTCAACCTGGAGGCGAGTGAGCGTAGCGAACGAGCTAACCTGAAGGCAAGTGAGCGCAGCGAACGAGCTCCAACCTAAAGGTGAGTGAGCGTAGCGAACGAGCTCCAACCCAAAGGTGAGTGAGCGTAGCGAACGAACTTCAACCCAAAGGTGAGTGAGCGTAGCGAACGAACTTCAACCAGGACGTGATTGAGCGATGCGAACGAGATCATCTTGAAAATTAAACGTAACGGTACTGTACTTTCTTTCCATCGGTCTGTCTTAGGGGAAACCTATAACTTAGGCGATACGAAGTTCGCCGGGTCAGCTAGTATAAAATATAAATATTTTATAGTCATTATCAAGTAGCTCAATTAGGTGAAACCACATACCAAGTTGTATTAAGATACGTTAAAAAATAACTGAGATATAGAATGTTATTTTAATAAGGATAACATGGGGGACAGAGTGTTCTGTGTTTACTACTTTAAATATCTCGGTAATCAATATACATAGAGTGATGATTCAAAATACTAAATTGTTCATCTTTTAAAGCTGGATTCAACGCTGAAAAGTAAATTTTGATTATTTTAACTTTTCCAAATGATAAATGGAAAAACCCATTTTGTGGGGCGTAAAAAGTTAATATTTTCTAGTTAATACAAGTTCAAGTTAATACAAAGAAACCGTTGGTTTAACCGCTAAAGGTGTAATAACCTTTTTTATAGATAATGATTAGACATTTCAAATAAGATGTCATACGTCAAAATCGGCTTCGCGGTTTACGAGATATGTGACATTATTATTATTGGCTGAGCGACCATTTTGATGATGTCACTGCCTAATCACTATGCGTCACTGTTTGCGTGACCTAATTATTTTAAAGCTTGCCTCCCGGCTGATTTTCACTCTTTTACATGTATTTACTCGATTCCCAAAGTATGGTGCTGGTCTCTGGAAGTGAAAGATTTTTACACTTGTTCCACGCACTACATACTAACTTCAATGAAAACCGGATTTATTTATATGATTTTTTTCTTATTTTACGGGGGTTTTATGGGAAAATAACATAATTTACTATAACTGTTGAACCGTAATTTTTTGCAGAAATGGGAGTTATACCATTTTGTTCAGAACTAAAGGGCTACAACATACTATTTTTTTATCAAAATCATTCGAGCCATTTTCGAGAAAATCTGATTTTCCCGTTATTTTATGAGTTTTTATGGGAAAATCGACATAAACAAATCAAAATTTCAAAAAAATGATAAAAACGTCTTGCAATGGTTTGGAGGGGGTTTCATATCCAATTATTACCACCATAAGTTATTTTCATGAGTTTATTTCCATAATAAACTGCAACAAAATAAGTAAAAAGTGTAAACATTACACTTAAATTTCATTGTTAACAATCTATATTTTACTTCCACCTTTTTCTAACTCAAGGAAATAGTTCTGTAGAAGGATTTTGATGTAAAATAAAAGAATGACACACAACACACAGACGATCATTGAGTTACAAGTTAAATACAACTAGGCTAAATGTTTATTTTAAATATCTTGAAATTTAAGTTAACCTTAAATACTCTCTTCATCCATTTGTATATTCATTTGCATGTCTAGTTGAAAGACTGGATCATACTCGTGTAAGAGTAGGTGGTACTTAATATCTGTAAAAAAAATCAATTATAGTGAATACAAATAAATAATTTACCAGTGAAACATGTATACTTGATTATCCATAATGTTAGCCAACCTATACCTGATACTTAATTAATATAAGAACTAAGTAAGTTTTATATTATGAGTTGAAAAATGTCGGAATAAAAATTAATGGGATATGACTAGGTGGATCCAACACACTATCACTTATAAGGTTGTTAATATAATAACAAATGAGACACTCGGAGCGGTTTAGAATTAAGACACTCTTGGTATGACATGGAGACCCTAATGGTGGTATGACATTGAGAGACTCATGATGGTATGACGTGGAGACACCCATGATGGTATGACATGGAGACCCTAATGGTGGTATGACATTGAGAGACTCATGATGGTATGACATGGAGACACCCATGATGGTATGACATGGAGACCCTAATGGTGGTATGACATTGAGAGACTCATGATGGTATGACATGGAGACACCCATGATGGTATGACATGGAGACCCTAATGGTGGTATGACATTGAGAGACTCATGATGGTATGACATGGAGACCCTAATGGTGGTATGACATTGAGAGACTCATGATGGTATGACATGGAGACACCCATGATGGTATGACATGGAGACCCTAATGGTGGTATGACATTGAGAGACTCATGATGGTATGACATGGAGACACCCATGATGGTATGACATGGAGACCCTAATGGTGGTATGACATTGAGAGACTCATGATGGTATGACGTGGAGACACCCATGATGGTATGACATGGAGACCCTAATGGTGGTATGACATTGAGAGACTCATGATGGTATGACATGGAGACACCCATGATGGTATGACATGGAGACCCTAATGGTGGTATGACATTGAGAGACTCATGATGGTATGACATGGAGACCCTAATGGTGGTATGACATTGAGAGACTCATGATGGTATGACATGGAGACACCCATGATGGTATGACATGGAGACCCTAATGGTGGTATGACATTGAGAGACTCATGATGGTATGACATGGAGACACCCATGATGGTATGACATGGAGACCCTAATGGTGGTATGACATTGAGAGACTCATGATGGTATGACATGGAGACACCCATGATGGTATGACATGGAGACCCTAATGGTGGTATGACATTGAGAGACTCATGATGGTATGACATGGTGACCCTAATGGTGGTATGACATTGAGAGACACATGGTGGTATGACTGAGAGGAGAGACTTAAGGTGGTATGAATGAGAGACTCATTATGGTAAGACATTGAGACACTTGTGTGGTATGAAATCGAGACACTCACGGTGTTATGACATTGAGACACTTGTGTGGTGGTATGAGAACATTACTGACACGTCAGGCAGGAGGCACATTTTAAGGCAAAGATGAGTGAAGAATGAATCAACTTTTGGTTACTGTCTAACATCACCTAGTTCTTCAGCCAGGATTCTGGTTATTCATTAAAACTTAATGATTAGGGATAGGGACCAATGAAGACAGAGCGTGCCTTAGCGCAGCCTTAATTAGGACAAGCGAAAGGTGCGGCCCCACACAACCTCTCACCTCAGGGCTCAGGGGACCCCGCAATTGGTGCATGAAAAAAGAAAAAGGGGGAGTAAGAATACTAACGCCAAATTTGAAGAAACTAGCCAAAGTTTGCCACCGACAACGTCAAACACCAACAACCAGACCCACAATTTGTGATGCGAAATGGTTGATCTAGACATTGACTATATAACGTTTATATAGTCAATGATCTAGACCAGCTCAGGTAGAGAGGATTTGAGGTAGAGGAGGTAGGTAGAGGGTATTTGGATGGGTT